TTCTTTCAGAAATATACTTTTGGTAGAGTAATAGTATTTATTTATGTATTTATCTCCTTGCTTGCTTGCTTGTGTGCATGCATGTTTGTGTGCCTGTTTAATTGCTTGCCTTCTTTGGCATAGAAAGACATGGTGTTAGTTCCACTGATTCTTCTTTGGCAGATTAGCAACGATGTACATATGATAGATGTTTTCACGAAACCTAAAAATCAGTTTGAAATGCAACATATCTCTACTTTGAAAACAGATATTACCATAAATCACTAGAGGGTGTAGAAACCCACTGAAACCCTCTTCACCGATTTAATTGAGTTGCTTTTTTAAGGGCTTAATGGATTTCTCAGTCCAGGTCCCATCTACATCCCTGCTGGTCTCTGGTTGTAGCTATTTCAAGTTTTATGACAACTGTAGTAGAAAGGGCAACATTTTTCCATTGATCTGACTTTTTGCTTTCTCCTTGTTTTACAATATCTCTTTGCTTCATCATATGTGTTTTGCAGAGCTCCAAATATCTTGTTCACAAGTCAAGTAATTTTGTTACAACTGTATTAAAACTAAGTTTTAACTTTAAGTTTTATCTTTAAGGTATCCTGCATGTTTCATTGACAGCCAGCTGATGGAGCTATAGGCCAGCTTTTGTCAACTAAACTTGGTGCTGCCATCACAGTCAGCACAACTAAAAATCCAGTTCAAGACTTGTAAGGTAGATGGAATGTATGAATTTAAGATGCAGCAGTGGTTTGTTCCCCAAATAGTGTCAGAGTAAACTATTTACTGGACCGTTTGTGCACGGCAGGAGAGGAAGCTGAACACCTTCCATATGCATTGCCTTCGACAGATTTTTGGTATCACCTGGCAGGACAAAGTTCCAAATAGAGTAGTCCTAGAACGAACTAGAATTTTTAGCATATATACATTACTGAAACAGCGAGGTCTACGTTGGCTTGGGCACATTGTGAGAATGGCTGGTGGTTGGATTCCAAAGGATCTCCTGTATGGAGAATTAGTGCAGGGAAATCACCCCAGAGGGAGACCATAGCTGTGATACAAGGATATCTGCAAGTGGGATCTGAAGGCCTTAGGAATTGACCTTAACCAATGGGAAATCCTGACATCTGAGTGTTCAGCCTGGAGGCAGGCAATGCATCATGGCCTCCCCCATTTTGAAGAGACCCTTGTCCAGCAGGCTGAGGCAAAGAGGAAGTCACAAAAGCAGCAAAATCAGGGAGCTGGACAGGGGACAGATTGTGTTTGTCTTCAGTGTGGAAGGGATTGTCACTCTTGAATCGGGCTCCTCAGCCACACTAGACGCTGTTCCAAGTCCTCCATACAGAGCACATTACCGTAGTGTTTCGAGTCTGAAGGATGCCTAACCACAAACTATTTACTGTAACCAGGTGAGTAAGCACTACTGCAGATGAGGCAGAATGAGGGCCTATGAGACGTTAAATAAGTCTAAATATTTGCCATGAAGAGTTTTAAATGTGCAGGTAACAGTATAATAATCTTAGAACTGAATTGCTGGAAGGGACCCTATGAGTCCAGCCCCTGTCAAGGAGGCACTGTGGGGAATCAAACTCCCAACCCCTGCCTAAACTCTTGAGCTATCCAGCAATAGGGTAAGGGGATGACTGATATTTCCTCTGGGTGAAATCTCTCATCAGTGCTAATGGAAATTGCAGGTTCGGGACTGTACTCAGGATCTTAGGGTTAACTCTCCCCTTTATGCTTATTTTGATCCTGTCACACACACACACACTTGATCTTAGCCAAAAGGCCAAGAAGTATTTCCATCCTGTCAATTATCCTGTAAATCTAGTCTTGGTGCAGTCACTCTGATAGGAACATTCTCCTGCTGTAATGTGTTCATTTTGTTCCCTTTGTACACTGATTTCCCAGACGAGTACAGAGCATGAGCAGAGATGCCACTATCTTGGCACCTGGAAAATATAACCTGCTGCTTCCTCTCAGTATGCAGATGCATCTTGCAGGTAAATTGTATTGCATGAATGGTGGCTTTTTGGTGAATGCCTTTAGTGGTCATGTAATAGGATAGCTTATGGCTTTAGGAAAAGGTGAACAATTTATAGGACTGAGAAACCAGACAACATACAATCTAAACAATGGAAAATTGCATTAGAATCTAAATGGGATATTTCCTTAGAAGTTCAGATTGATCCAACAAAAAAATAGCATTTAGAGTATATTGGACGCCACACAGTTCTTTAGGAAGGGATCGTCACACTCTGACAGATGTTGGAGATATAATACTGGAAATGCATGGTTGAATTATGATCTGGGCTAGTACTAGCAACTCATTCCTTTCATCTTGAAGTCATCACTTGTATTAATGCAGTATAGGTGAAATCTTTGATATTTTCAGGTATTAGTGTTTTCTAAATGATATCCCTCTCCTATGGAATCCGAGAAATGGGCAACAAAACTGGACTTTAAGAGCCCTTATTGTGGCTAACAGATTTGTACTCTGAGATTGGCTGTCAGGTTTGTGACAGTACAATAAAGACTGGTTGATATTTTGAGGTTGGAAAGATAAACATCCCCCATCTGCTACACAATGTTGGGAGGATCTGTTAGAACCAGGTACATTTAAACATGTATCCTGTAGAGGCCAACCTCATGAGAATATTTGTTAGGACGTCTGGAAGGCTTACACTGATTAATCTGTTTAATTTCAGATGTACGTAGTGATAGCTACAATTGTACTTATATTGCAAATTTAACATAAACAATTTATTGGTACTGAACATATAAACATTGTATACACATACAATGAAATTCACAAAGAACAGTCAGAGACCAGACCAAACACACACACACACCCTCATAACAATCCCTAAATCCCAGAACCCCACCTAAAACTCATAATAGCCACACAACATAGAACACAACAGACCATGTAATAGTAATACAGTCCAACAACTCACTGCTGGTGATTCTTAAGTTCCTTAAGTGCAATTATAGCTGTTAGGTATAGGATAAAAGCTGTTCAAACATGTGTTGTCCGAGTTTTAATTATTCTGTATCTTCTTCTGGAAGCCAATAGTTCAAAGAAGTTATAAGCAGGACGGGAAGAGTCTCTGAGAATACTTAATGACTTCCTCAAGCAGTGAGATGTAAAGACATTGTCCAGGGTTGGAAACTGAAGTCCAATAATATTTGGGGCAATTTTAGTAATTCTCTGTAAAACTTTTTTGTCTCTTTCAGAGTAACTCCCATACCATAAGAAGATGCCATATGTTAGGGCAATCTCTATGGTACTACAATAGTAGGACAGATGTAAATGCTGAGATAGAGTTATCTTCCTGAACACTCTCAAGAAGTACAGCCTCTTCTGTGCCTTCTTCACCAGCATATTAGCATTTATAGACCATGAGAGGTCCTCTGAAATATAGATACCCCCAAATTTAAAACTACTAACCCTCTCCACCTCTTCACCATGTATGTACAATGGTAAATATACATCTCTCCTCCTTCTAAAGTCAGTTATAAGTTCTTTAGCTTTTTTGGTGTTCAATTTAAGATTATTTTCTTTACACATAGTGTCAGCCTTGTACTTCTTTTCTATAAGCAGAATCATTGTTCTTATTTATAAGCCCCACCACTGTCGTATCATCTACAAATTCAATAATTGCATTGGTGTTATACAATGGGGTGCAGTCATGTGTCTACAAAGAATAGAGAAAGGGACTTAACACACAACCCTATATTTAGTATCTGTCAGGATTTGGTGACAGAAAAATGCACAGAGTTAATTGAAGACACTTACACGTTCTTCTTCTTTAGCAAGACGGGTGTATTTACAATATTTACAAGTATATACAGGATGGCATCACATCAGCATGGCAGGAAATCATTAAACAAACCAGCATACAGGATAGCAGCAAATGGTGGAGAGAGAAGAGAAATCTATGAACACACTGTTCACTTATATACATATACAAGGCTTCTTTAGTCCAATCAGAAGACACATTACAACATCTTCTGCACCTGGGTGTCTTCTCATCTTCAGACATTGCATCATCTCCTCAGCAGTCACAGTGACTCAGCATACACACATCTGTTCACAATGTCAGCTCATTAATAACACATTTATCCAGGTTCAGGCCTATAAAAATTACAATATCCTGACAGAATATTGGTAGAAAAATGATATTATCCCATCCTTACTGTGGCCTGCTTGTCGGCAAGTCCTTTACCCACAGAAGATCTTCTGATGTGTTCCCAAACTGGACATTTTAATGGTGGTTGACAGCAAGCACAAATATTATTATATTTACTGTTCTTATTTTTTGTGCTCTATTGTTTTGTTTTTCCCTTTCTTTTTTAGTTCAGTTTTTTATATATTAAACCTGCAAAAAAGAAAAAGTAAAAAAAAAAGAGAGAAAAAAAAACATTGCTTACAGATGCTTATTCTTGCCATGTGGAAGAACAACCATGTCAGATGCACTTCCTACACTAGTGAAATCTCCACTGTAGTCCTTTTTAACCCACCTGGGCTTAGTAACAACAGCAGCCAATCATTAAATAAAATAAAATGAAAATCAATTAAAACTTTAAAAAAAACTTAGAACAATTAAAAAAACCAAGAAAAACTGGGAGGAGGATCCTGGAGCAGCAAAATATATTCCTTGGTGAATACGCTGAGAGAATGATAACAATATATGTCACACTAAAACAGCTATTTTGGACAAGTGTTGGCATCAGTCAAATTTTATTTTGGTTGAATTATTGTGTAGTTTATTTGTGTTGTATTATTTAATTGTATTGCTGTGTTTTCAGGCATTGCAAGTGGTTTTGCTGTGATTCCAAGGTCCAGATAATTGGTGGTCTAGAAATGTACTTGCTATCTTCTTGGAAGGAAAGCAAGACTGGCCTCTTTTATTCAAGTGTTTAATTAATTCAGGAGCTCTGACCTCATTTGCACAGGGAGTTTCTCTTTGCCCTCTGGCTTAGTGTAACTCTTTCTCTTAAAAACAAACATTCTCAGCACAAATTGGCCACAGCTTCATTGGAGGATATTTGAGTAGCTGGAAGGGGAACAAAGTTCTGTGGTCACACCCCATAGATAATCTGTAACATGACCTGCACATTTTCCATTCTGTAAAGTTTTATTTCTCTGTAAGTACATTTGCTTCTTTCACCGAGCTGAGTTTTATACTCAAAACAGCACCACCATGGCTGCAAGAGGATTAAGTGAAAGTTTGGAGAAGAAGCAGGAAGAGCCAGAAAAGACTACTTCTAAAGATGGTTTGTTTTTATATAATGGCGATTTATATCCTGCTATTATCTGTTGCCCTGAAACACTGAAGATCCTTGACACGTTTAAAGCGCGGACAGATGATGTGGTACTTGTGGGATATGCCAAAACTGGTGAGTCTTTCAGCCTGGCAGGAATGGCTTGGGTCCGTATTAGTGGGCATGTATATTTTTTAAATAGGATTCGAGTTAACTGTTTTCTGAATCAGTAGAAATCCATTTGTGAATGCTGAATAGGTATGCCAGGAAAAAAAAATGTTACCAAATAGCCAGAGAATTCATTCATCCTATCCACAATTTCCAGAAATATTTTTTGTTGTTTCGTTGTTAAGTTGTGTCTGACTCTTCATGACTAGAGCACGCCAGGCCCTCCTGTCTTCCACTACCTCTGGTCAAATTCATGTTGGTAACTTCTGTGACACTGTCCATCCATCTCATCCTCTGTCGTCCCCTTCTCCTCTTGCCTTCACACTTTCCCAACATCAGGGTCTTTTCCAGGGAGTCTTCTCTTCTCATGAGATGGCCAAAGTATTGGAGCCTCGGCTTCAGGATTTATCCTTCTAGTGAGCACTCAGGGTTATTTTCCTTCAAAATGGATAGGTTTGTTCTCTTTGCAGTCCAGGGGACTCTCAAGAGTCTCCTCGAGCACCACAATTCAAAAGAATCAATTCTTCAGTGGTCAGCCTTCTTTATGGTCCAACTCTCACTTCCATACATCGCTACTGGAAAAACCATAGCTTTGACTACTTGCAAAAATTTTGAGTTACGAAAAGCTCCGGCTGCAAAATTTTGCTTTGACCTGTGGCCAGAGCTTCCACTTATGGAAGAAAAAAGGCAGGGGAAAAGGGCGGGAAATTTAAATTTACCAACCATTTGTGTTGAAGAAGCTGCTTTTTCACCCAACTGTTAGGAAAAGGGAGGCTCAGCCTCCCAGGCTTCCAACACTGCCCTGGCTGCCGCGCTGGGTGCTTTGGAAGCCCGGGAAGCTGGCACCCGGTGAGGCAGTTGGGGCAGCGTTGGAAACCCGGGAATCTGGCAACCAGCGCAGAGGTCGGGGCAGCTTTTGGCTTCCTGGGCTTCCAAAGCTGCCCCTGCTGCCTCCTGCAGTGGCAGAGGCACCGGGGATGGGAGGCAGAGGGTAGTGGGGACGGCTTTGGAAGCCTGGAAAGCCAAAAAATAAAAGCCGCCCCCGCTGCCCTCTGCCTCCCATCCCCACTGCCTCCTGCAGCAGTGGAGGCAGTGGGGACAGGAGGCAGAGGACAGTGGGGTCATAAAAGCTAATTTCAGTTGGCATTTCTTTGAAGACTTCTTTCCCAGGATGCATCCGAAAGGAAACATTTCTTTGAGGTACCTTTGGGTGTTTGCTTACCTTTTCTAAATGATACATTATTTCCTGCGGTAGATCTGGAAGTAACCTTCTATCTTTTTACTGTTTTATGATACAGTTTGCTCAAGGAGAATGCAGGAGACATGATCTTTAAGCTTTGACGAAATTGCCAATCCCATAGTTCACTGGGACACGATATAGAAAATTTATCAGCTATACAATTGCTAAATTCTAACATATATGGTTATCTCTTGAAGTTGCAATGACATCTCCTCAAAAGTGCAATATTCCGCATTCAAAACTGGAGGGTTTTTTTTTTTTGGACAAATTAATGTTTAATTGTTATATGAGCCTCACCTGTGCTCTTGCCTTTTTGATGAAAGTGTTTAATGACTGTAAGCACAGTGAGGCTTTTTGATTTTTTTTGCATTTTCTAACATGGTTTCTGCATTGCTTCAGGCACTAACTGGGTTGCCCAGATGTTGACTGAGCTAGAAGCTGCATCTGGAAAGTATGATGAAGAAGAAAGGAAACAAAGGCAGCAAAATTTACAAGAATTAAAGATAGCCCCATACCTTGAATTTGGAGACCCAGGGAAATTTGAGGTCAGTATGCAGAGGAATACTCTATAGCCATACTCATCTGAATAACGTAAGAGCCACCCAAAACACCCAAGTAGGAATGGCACTCTGCAAAGCTTTTGAAATTTACAATGGTGGAATCCACACAGTTGATGGGATTTCTTGAGGCCATTTTGAATAGCTAAATGTGGATGTGAATAAATATAGGTTGCAGTACCCCTGGGCAGATAGTGTTTTACCTGCAATGCTGTCATGCTCTGCATCCATATCCTTTCCGTGTTACAGAATTCCGAATAGCTTTTGAATGACATATTAGGAGCCTGGCTTCTAATGGCCTGCCTTTATTATGACTCTCAATAAGTTCACGAAAGCTGTCGAGTTCATCCACATGAAATCATCTGTAAGGCTGTAATAAAAATGGCACTTCAGTTTCCCATGAAAGCAAGGGGATAATTAAAAGTACTGACTGTGGCTGGAATTTTTGTCTGAAATTTGCAGCTGGCCCTACTTTCTCCAAGAAACTTCCTCTTATCTGTACCTGCATCCCTCTGCAAACACTTAGCTCAGTCAAAGGCCAGCACTGCGTCAAATTGTGTGCAAGACAGTGTGTGATACCAGTAACAGCCAGATAAAAGATGCAGCAGATGGGGATGAATTCCGTATTGCACAGGGCTAATGGAGGCCACATCTGCTATGAATATAATTCAGACCACTACATACAGAGACCCCATTATTGGATGTGGTATCCTATCTAACCAAGGAACCTCGCATCAGTTAAGGTGATACTTTGGCTACAGTGGTGCAGCAGTTGTTAGCCAGACTGGACTTGCAATCTGCTTTATGTAGGTTTGCCTTCAAGGCTTTTTCAGTCGCTGCAGCCAGGTACAGAATGTTTCCAGCTAGGCTTTTGAGTGGCAGCACACAGTACATGTGTTGAAGGAACTGCACGGGCTCCCTATTTGCCGCTGGGCCAGGTTAAAGATTTTATTGCTTGCACATTGGGCCATAACCAACTTGGGACCTGGTTATCCAAGAGACGGCCTTCTCCCTTATAGAGGCATTCCATTGTTAAAGTAATCTGGAGAGCCTCTCCAGGTGGTGCCACATGCTTTTCAACCCCACTCTGTATTCATTTGTAGCCAGGCATTTCGTGCTGTGGCACCCACACGGTGAATACTCTTCCATCAGCAATTTAGCAAATTGTGTTTCATTCCAGCAGTGCCATTGGATTTCAGTATTTCCTTCTCCTTATAGTTCTCTGTGCTCCCTAAAATGATGATCTGGAGGACTGGAAAATGATCAGAAACATTTTTCTTTCTTTCTTTTTTTAAATAATGGAGGACTGCCAAAGCAGCTGGAGGAGAAGAAAGTGCCAGTTCCAGCTGTGTTGGATTTCAGAGAATATGGGTGATTCCTGACCTTCATGTTAGATTTTATTGCAAACTTTTATGCAGACCTTTAGTGTAGAGTTTTATCTACCATCTATTTCATAGCCCACTAGAGATGAGCACCTTGTGCCCCTTCATCATAAGTCATCTGTGTGGCAGCAAAGCCCCACCCCACTCGCTGGAATCTCCACTCACCAGACAGTGCACATTGCTCCTTCCTTCCCCATCGTGTGACCTCCAAGTCCAGCCAGCAGTCTGGATTTCCCTTCTAGCAGCAGGTCACTCAAAGGTAGCACTCCAGGAATCCCTGTTCCGCCTCCTCATCTATAGCCCGCATAAATATTCTAGGTTAATTTCTGTGTTTTGTATTTTATTATTGCTGTACATTGCTTTAACATTATCAGTGCTAAGTGGCATGTAAATGCTGGTAAATAAGTTAGTAAAATAAACCCGAGTCCAATCAAATAAGGAGATTTTTGTCCAGGAATATCCAGACAATCCGCAGTTTAATGTGCCATGTTAGGGTTAGAAGAAGGTACAGAGAATATATTTAAAATGCTAGCTGCCCAGCTTTAAAACCAGTTTCTCTCAGTGTCCTTCAAAGCCCAAGCCAGAATTTCTTCTGAAGACATTTTTGTTTGGTTAAATAAATGACTTCAAAGTATTAATGATTACATATAAAGCCCTAAACGGTTTGGGACCTCAATATTTGGCAGATCGCTTCCTCCCACCCAGATCTACCCGAGTCACCCGACATAGCCAGCAGGGATGGCTGAGGGGACTGATGCTGAGGGAGGCCCGGAAGGAGAAATCAAGAAACCGGGCCTTCTCGGCAGTTGCCCCTCGGCTGTGGAACACACTTCCCACTGAAATTCGACTGGCACCCTCGCTGGGTGTGTTCAAAAACCAACTAAAAACATGGTTATTCAGACAGGCCTTTCCCCCAGTCACCTAAGTTCTTTCCCCCCTTTTTCTGGTTCTTAATGTTGCCATCTTGGATAATATTAATTATAATAATTGCATTATGTTAGTTATTGTTCTACATTGTTTTAATGTGTTTTAATTTTTATAAGCCGCCCCGAGTAGACGTTGTCTAGGGGGGCGGGGTAAAAATTGAATGAATGAATGCATGAATGAATGAATGAATGAATGAATGAATAAATAAATAAATGTGGAGCAAAATTCAGTTTAGTTATTTCCATATGAAATACAAAAATTGACTCAATAGAACTTATATAATTACTGACTTACTGAAGTGCCATTGATTCCATGGGCTTGCCCCCTTTGGAAAAAATAATTGGATTTACTCTGTAGCATTTAGAGACAAGAAAGGGTGACTTTTAAAAAGTAGACTTTAAAACATGTTTTTTCATACAGTTTTCTTAATGTTTTATTTTTATAAGGTTGCCAATGTACTTACGCTAGTTACAAGTCTAAAGTTCAATGGTTTCTTTTATTGTTTGAAGTCTAAAGTTCAATGGTTTCTTTGTTCTATTGTTTTATGATGTGTATTTGTATAGTGTATGATTTTTTTTATTGTGACAATACATTTATGTTGTGAACCGCCCAGAGAGTTCTTGAATATCAATCAATCAATCAATCAATCAATCAATCAATCAATCAATCAATCAATCAATCAATCAATCAATCAATCAATCAATCAATCAATCAATCAATATTTATGTAACATTGTCTATTCCCCACAATGGATTATTTACAAATATGATGAATACTAGTAATACATTACTATTGTTGCGTAGGGTTAGTGTTATTATAAGGAACAAAAAAGTAGATATACGAGCAGGCATTCCCAATCTTGTGTTTCTGTATGTTGTTAGAGGACAACTTCCAGAATCTTTGATTATGCTTCCTAGGGCCTCTGGGAATTGAAGTCCAACATCTGGGAATCCAAGATTGGAGTTATTTGTCTTTACCTATTCAAGGGCAGCCAGCATACCTTTGACAAAAATGCAAAGCCATGCCTGCTGACTTCTAACTTACAATAATTTCCATTCGGCCAACCTTTCTGATTAAATAAAAATGAAATAACTGCTTTGTATTTGCAACTAAGGCTTATTTAAATCAATGGGCCTTAAGCACCGAGAATCAAATTTCAATGTCAGTGGTAAATGTGCTGGGATTATAATTCAGTGGAGAGCCAGCATCGCCAAAGCACCCAAGGAAATATTTAAGCCAGAAGTGGGAAGCTGCTACTAATTGAAGAATTCCTTTTTTAAATTTTGGGGTGCAGGTGATTTTGTTTCATTGTGTGCAAGATCCTGCCCCCTGAAATAAAAAAAGGGAATTCTTTAATTAGTGGCAATCTGCTTCTGCTGATGGCATCATTCCTGCTGTGTATATGAAGATCCACAAGAGGATATTGGGATATGTTATTTCTCCCTTTTACTAAAGATATATTAACTTTCCTATTTTTATCATATTTTTAAAGAGAATGGAGAAGATACCTTCCAGAAGAATTATAAAAACACATCTCATTCCACATAAAATTCCTAGGTCGATTTTTGAACAAAAACCAAAGGTAAGTCCTCTTCTAAAAATATACGTATTTTTGACTTACAGTGGTACTTGTTGTGCGAGGCACCACTGTATTAAACTAAGACTTAGTGCTATTTCTGAACCAGGCCATTGAATTAAACCTCTGGTCTCTGCAAAGACGGGTCTTCTCCTCAAGCACAGGTCTTCTCTCGCCTTATTGCATAAAGATTTTAGGCATCCTTCAGTCTCGAGAGACTATGGTAATGTGCGCTGTATGGAGGTCTTGGAACAGCATCTAGTGTGGCTGAGGAGGCCAGTTCGAGAGTGACAATTCCTTCCACACTGAAGAAAAATACAATCTGTCCCCTGTCCAGCTCCCTGATTTTGCTGGTTTCAGGACTGCCTCTTTGCCTTGGCCTGTTGAACAAGTGTCTCTTCAAAATGGGAGAGGCCATGATGTGCTGCCTGCCTCTAGGCTGAACGCTCAGATGTCAACGTTTTCCATCTGTTGAGGTCCATTCCTAAGGCCTTCCGATCCCACTTGCAGATATCCTTCTATCACAGCTGTGGTCTCCCTCTGGGGTGATTTCCCTGCACTAATGCGCCATACAGGAGATCTTTTGGAATTCAACCATCAACCATTCTCATGACATGCCCAAGCCAAACTAAACGTCGCTATTTCGGTATACATGCTAAAAATTCCAGCTTGTTCTAGGACTACTCTATTTAGAACTTAGTCCTGCCAGGTGATGCTAAAAATGTGTGGGAGAGAACGCATTTGGAACATGTTCAGCTTCCTCTCCTGCCGTGCATGAAGGGTCCAGAACTCACTGCAGTACAGGAGTGTACTCAGGACACAGGCTCTATAGACTTGGATCTTGGTATATACTATCAGCTTCTTATTAAGCCATACTCTCTTTGTGAGTCTAGAGAACATGGTAGCTGCTTTGCCAATGTATTTATCCAGCTTGACATCTAGGGAGAGAGTGTCAGAGATAGTTGAACCAAGGTACCCAAAGTCATGAACAACCTCCAATTCTTGTGTGGAGATGGTAATAGAGGGAGGTGAGTCCACGCCCTGGCCCATGACTTCTGTTTTCTTCTGGCTGATTGTTAGTTCTGGATGATCCTGCCTGTACCTGACTTCAAGGGAGCAGATTTCATCTGTATTGGACCTAAAGCCTGCTTGATACCATCATACTTTCCCTTGATGTTCCCTGTATCCACTGCTATCTGTATCTGAGAGCACAGCTGAAGCCAATAATCATTGGAACATCTCTTGGCAGCCTGTCTGACTTGGCTATGAGCAAGTTGAAGTGCCTGCAAGTTGTACTCACTAGGACTGGCTTTGTATGCTGCTAGAGCTCTCTCTTATCCTCAGTGGCTGGCATCAACTCCTCTGAATGGGCTTTGAACCAGTCTGCCATCTTTTTGGTCTGCTTGCCAAATGTGGGCAGGGTGGGCATTCTTGAAACATTCCCATCGTTCAGGTGCATTTTCATCAGCTGGGCCTAGAAGGGTTTCCTGAAGCGCTTGAGCAAATTCCTCCACTTTTCTTTGATCACGCGTCTTGCTGATATCAATACGTGGTCTTCCTTCCTTTTTCGTGTGAGACAATCTCTCTACTACACATCAGGGAGTGATCAGTATCACAATCAACACTCTGGTAACTGTGTGTGATTGTAATACTAGGCAGGCTAGAGCGTCTAGTGAGGATCAAATCAAGCTTATGCAAATGCTTCAATCTTGGATGTCTCCAAGAGACTCTGTGTTGAAGCTTCATATTAAATAACACGTTGCTGACACAAAGATAATAATAACACCTAAACTCCAGCAAGCGTTGGCCATTTTCATTCATCTTCCCAATGCCAAAACAGCCTAGACAAGCAGACCAAGAATTGTGATCAGCACAAAAAGTGGCTCCTTCTCTGAGATTTTCTTTTATAGCAGCTGCCAGATTGTCATAGAATTTGTCTTTGACTTCTGTTGTGGATGACAATGTTGGTGCATATGCACTAATGAGGGTGACCAGTCCTGCTGATAATTGGAGCTGCAGAGACAGGATTCTTTCACTCCCCACAGTAGGTGGAACAATGGATCTCAGCAGAGTATTTCTGACCACAAAGCCAACACCATGTTCCCTGGTCTCATTCAATGGTTTTCCCTGCCAGAAGAAAGAGATTTTTTTTCTTTGACAGATCCCATGTCTGGCAATCTCGTCTCTTGCAGGGCAACAATGTCCTTCTGCAGTCTACTCCATTCCATGTTGATGACAGCTGTCTTGCACACATTGTCTATTTCCTGCAGGTCATCAGAAAAGCCAGGGGTCATTGTCCGAACATTCCAGATGCCCAACTCTCGGGCAGACATTTTCTTATGATTGTTGCATGGTGCAGGGTTACCCATCTGCTTGTTGGCTTTCACCCTAAACCCCACACACCCTGTGAGATTAACAGACCATGGTGTGGTAGCACCTTACTGGCTGAGGACTGCCCAGCTTAAGGCAGGCGGTAGCTACCTAATGAGGTGCAATGACCTCTCCTACCATCGGAAGTAGCCCTTGGCATCATGCTCTATGCCAATCGAGCAAAGACTTATAACTGGTAACTGCTACTCCTCGTGTTGTTTCAATGCTGTATGGGAAGCTGGAGTTTCCTCTCCAGAGCACGAAGCCTGGGTAAAATAGTATGGGTAAAAATATGCACAAAGATAAACCACACATTAATGATAGTTTATTATTAGAATTAAAGGCACATTAGTTTTGTGGAAATAATCTTCAGACAGATTTTACTTGTGTCTGTGGGGTTTGCCACTCACTGGTGTGCAGAAAACCTCTGTTTTAATTATTTGTCATTCTGTGCTAGCACTATGCCAAGTTTCAAGAAATTTAAAAAATTAAAATAGTTTAAAAAACCCCCACATCAATAGCAACTAGTGACTGTGAAAGGCAGCAAGCACAATGGTGGGCACAAGACAAAGCCTCAGAATCAATTATTCTAAAAGCCCACATAGCCCTCTCTACTGATATACAACTTGGTTTTAAATAGATTGATTTTTTTCTAAGAGGACACACATGCTGGCCCCAAAATCATGTGAATACCACATGACTTTAAACCAAATTTAAAAAACCTAATCCATCATCCAATTTATTCCAATAGTGTAACTGTGCCTAAATGTGTCTTGAAGACCATTCACAAAGCAAAGCAAACACATTTCCAAGTGAGAAGGCAAGAAAAGCTTTTGCTCTGACAGCCGCACATAGTCAGCACTGAAGATATCTTTCTTCTTATGATGGATTATAGAGATGAACATGAACCTGGAAAATTGTGGTTTGTGATAGTTCGTGGTTGGCTATGAACCACAAATGACCATGAACCAATCAGAACTGTGAATTGGTTGAGTTGTTGGTTTGTGCCTGTGGGAGCTTCCTAACTCCTGCTAAACCTCTGCCACTGTCACGCTCCTGCCACCATCACACTACCATTGTCATCGTCATTGTGCTGGCACTGCCTTCATCGTGCTGCCACCACCACTTTTGTTGTACCATCGCCATTGTCGTCGTCGTCCCATTGATGTCGGCAGCTGAGCGGCAGTAGCAGTTTAGCCTTCAAGGAGCCTGGGTGCTGCTGGTGCACATGTTCAGAGACTGAACATGTGCATGCAGGCCCAACTCCTAGAAGGGAAGCCTGGCCACTGTCTCTGAAGATGGTGGCAGCAGAGGAGGAAGAGGAAGAGCTGACAGGACCAGATAGGGAGGCAATGGAGGCAGCGGGAAAGGGGCAGGTGGGCATTCATTCATTATCTGTCAGTCAGTCAGTCAGTCAGTCAGTCAGTCAGTCAGTCAGTCAGCCAGTCAGTCAGTCAGTCTGTCTCTCTGTCTCTGTCTGTCTGTCTGTCTGTCTGTCTGTCTGTCTGTCTGTCTCTCTCTCTCTCTCTCTATCTATCTATCTATCTATCTATCTATCTATCCATCCATCCATCCAATCCAGAGTAAGGTATTTTTTTCTTCTGGTTATATGAGTTTATCTCTGAACTAAACTTCATTTCTAAAAAAAAAATTGACTCTTCATTCTACTAATATTAGAAAGAATAATAAAACTACCCATGTTTTTCATATTTTAGATGTGACCTCTAACATGCACAAGTATGTTTTTATGTCTGTTTGTGTTTTAAAGATACTAGTTTTGTTTCGGAACCCAAAGGACACCGCAGTCTCTTACTACCATTTCTCCAAAGGCATGAGATTGATTCCCAGCGAGCAAACTTGGGATGATTTCTTCTCAGATTATATGAATGGAAAAGGTTGGCTTGCCTCTTTTTCTCTTTAGACAATTAAGTTCTAAAACAGCAGTGTTTTAAATTCATTGCTCTAAAACAGAGATAAGCAACCCATGCACCTAAACCTTCCCTCCACTCACCGGGAAGGAGATCCAACCATCCAACAGGAGTGGATTCCTTTTACTGTTGACTTCTGTGACTGGACAGCACTGGAAACGAGGAACACAGGAAGTTGGGGTGATGAGCATCTCTTGGAATGCTGAGTTATGACAGGAGCATATGATAGCACTGTAATAAAGCACAGTGATGTAGCGTGGGTGGGGCCACAGGGGCAGTTGCCTTGGGTGCAAAATTCTTAGGGGCACAAAATTTTAGCACTGCCATGGAGTCATGAGGCAAGATAGAGTGCAGAGCGGGTGAGAGCGGGCAAGCCCTTTTCCTGATTTTTACTGTACTCTGTTTCCCCCCTCTGGGCAGGCAGCAACAGTGAGTTTGGTAATGGTCAAGCGGATCTGCCTCTTAAGTGAGGGTGACCCAATGGGTGGCCCAGAGCAGCCCAGGCCCCCTCCCCTGGCAAAAACACAGTGAGCAGGCAGGCCCTATGAGGGAGGGTGTCAAGAGAGGGCTCTGTTGATGTGTATCCTCCTCCCCCACCACCTCCATGTGGGGCAATACTTGCCTTGCTCTGGGTGCTGGGAATCCATGCTGCACCTCTGAGAATGCTGTAGAAATGTGGTATCAGACACTGTTATCATTTTCCAGCCAACAGATCCGATTCTTCTCTTTTCTTCCTCCCTCTCTTTTAGCCCAATGTGTTTCATTCAGTCCTCCCCTTCTGCTATACAACAGCACTCCTTGAGGAAACAGAGTGAGAATGAAAAATGGGTGAAGAAGAGCAGAAACACCCCAAAGAGTTGTTGCTAGGGCGAAATCAACAGCATAACGCTGCCAAAATATGTTTTGGATGGGACGACCATCTCTGGATTTTTCAGCAGGAAAGACCTTACTGACCCTTGGAGGAGGATGTTGGAGAGCGTATGCTTTCCCATTAACTTTCTAGCCCGCTGCAGTCTTTCTGGCATAATACTTGAGATACTCTCTTTTCAAACACACATACGCAGAAACAGTACTTTCGTGTTAATCCCTAATCTGTTTGCTAGTTGCAGGTTCATTTTCACAAAGTTATGATGAAAGAATTTTATTTGTTTCAGGAGTCGAACCCAGGGGAGAAATCATTCACCTTTTTTTCCATTGATTACGTGATGTAATGGGAAAGGTGAATCAACCTGGAGTCTCACACTCCCAATCTGTAGCTTTTCCTCCCCCCCCCCAAGAGCCTCGTACTTCTAGATTTTTTCAATTTGATTCAAAGGATGTGATTGCTTTGAACTGATGCAGAAAGGGAGGATGAGCTGTGTATGAACATACCTACAGAGCAGCTTCCCTCTTGCCACTTTCCTCATGAGCGTGTGCACACATCGGGCAGTGCCAGCACATACCTCCCCGACAAAGTCTCTTTCCAAAACTAATTTTTAAAAAGCTTCTCCTCCAGGGCAGCACTTCTGCTTGCTTTACTCCTTTATTTTTGAACAGCTTAACTAACAAAGCTTTGAGTCAGAAGCTGGGAACTGGGACAGGAAAAAGTCCGTCTCAATGCCTATTAATGCAGTTCTTTGAACAGCATCACCTGCAGGGCTGTGAGAAGAACTGCAAGCAGTTCAAGTTAATGGTGGCCACTTAAACTGAAAAGACTTGACATCTCTGGTGCAACTTCATAGCAAGTAAATAGGAGTGAATTCATGTTTCCTTTACTGTCTAGTCACATTCCCAATGTAGCCTTTTAGTATGTCCTCTCTGTCCTAATCTAAACCAGCTAGCAAACTTGACTACAGGGCATTGTTACACATAACAGCTAAGGGAATTATATAGGAACTGCCCTTTGTTGAATGTGACTAACAATTTCCACATAGAAAACAGGCATCCTGGCTCACTCACCATGCATAAAGCAGAAGCTGCACTGACTGACTGAAAGCCATGCAACATGTCAGAGTTTTTGAAGAATTAGTTGAAGTAAGGAGTGGATCCAAAAGCTAGTCACCAAGAGTTGGGGAAAGATGGTCCAAAGCCATTTGTGGTGTCTTAACTGAACCTAAAACTCAATAAAATGAAAAGTGACTATGTTGGAAGTAGCAAATGTAAAACAGTTTGCCTGCAGATGGGAGAAAATAGGACAGTTCAATTGCCCTCAGCTTGGCTAAGACTGAATCTCTTAACATGTTGCTGAAGGCATATCAAAAGACTATTATTGAGCACAATGGAAAATGTATTTTGAGAAGCATTTTCACTGGGGAAGCTTTCAAATAACCATTCTGTAAATGCAAATGGCAAATGTAATCAGATTGTACAGAAATCCTTTATTGATCATATATTGGATATATGTCATATGACCATAATTCTCTCCTTTCTTCCTTCTTAGTTCCCTATGGTGTTTATTTAGACCACATTATTGCATGGAACAAGTATATTGATGACAAAAATATAATGTTTACTACCTATGAGGAACTAAAAGAGGTGAGCATTTCCTGGAAGTTCCTAACCCTGTGTGTTAGTTGAATAGTCTCCAAGAAACCTGGGCAAGGGGATGACTGAATGAATACTCCTAAGATACTTATTCAGACACTCTACATGGACAGTCCAGACCTTTTAATCACACACAGGCTCTGTCTTCCAGCCTGCAGGCTATCAGTATCTTTGTGTCATTCCCTTTGAGTTCCATTTCAGTTTTATGCCCAATCACATTTGGAAATAGACTATTATTTTTCTTAGATGAAGAAAAGCCATGATATCTGAACTAAGAAACACTCCACTAAGTTTTGTACTTGTTAAAATGTTTATGTAATACTGAAATCAGAATTTGGACTTTGGTCTTGTATGGGTTTCATATGCCTGCTGCCTTACTGACTTTTGATGTATCCGTTTGCATTATTCAGAATACAGCACTGGGACTGAAAAAAATAGCCGAATTCTTTGAATTTTCTGTGACTGAGCAAGATATTCAAACCATTATTGAAAAGACTAGTTTCAAGTCCATGAAAGAGAAAGGTATTGAAACCCATGGAATGGCAGCCAAGAGTCTTTTTCGTAAAGGTAAAATTCTAATATGTGTGGTTAACTTCAGGGGAGGTGAGCATAACAAGAATAACTCCAATCTGCAGAGCAAGAACAAAATGGGCCTGTTCTAACTCTTTCATTTAATGGACTTTGACTGTGCCATATATGATTTACTTTTCTTCTGAATGCAAATATTATTTATTTGTTTAATCAGCACTATCTACATATACCTATCCATAAAAACAACCACAGTGGCTTGAACTAAAAAAAATGCAAAATCCACAATCTTAAAAATGATAGGTTGATCAAATCAGTGGCCTTCAACAGATTCACGGCATACCTCTAGGTGAATCTGTTCATGTCGCACTATATTTTAATGGGATTTACCACAGCAAAGGATACATAGTTTGCAAGCTATCAGGGAGAAAATACTGTAGGGAGAAGAGCGTACAACAACTTCAGTGCAGTGCCCTACAAATTCAGTGGAGGTAAACATTGTTTACCAACCATGTACAGGCAAACTGCCACAGAACCAGACAGACCTCTTGTTTAATTGTGGAAGGGGGCTGTCTTGCATCTTGGGCACTGGAGCTGAGAAGGTCCCATCTGAGTCCCTTGGTTGCCATTTTGTTTGAATATGGCCTCAAATTCGGGATCTGGGATGTAGGGTCTTCCAAGAGGAGGAAAGCACTCCACACACCTGGTGAAATGGGCTCTACTGCACAACAGCTTAACACCATGTAAATCTCTTAATTTTTTAATGGTACAACAGAAATCATCATTTTTAATGTGGACATGGGAGAAAAACTGCTGTTCCCCTGAAACTGCTGCTGCTATGAATACTGCCGTTCTTCTTAAAATACCGCACAAAGTCAATATGCGGTGTCTGTGTTATCCATGGTACAAATAAAAGATTGACAAATCTTCAGTGTATTTCTGAAAATAAAAATGGTCAGAACATGCCTAAGATTCAAGGCAATTATTACCTACCTGAAAAACAGTGCCTAGGATTGTTGCAGAAGACCGGGGTGCCATCCTGATCCCACAGGGAAGCCTCATACTCCACAGAGCTTGCCTGGTCTTGGAAATGAAACTTGTCGGCAATGCCTAGCTACCTCTGTGGTGGAGAAAGCCTTTTTCAGTTTGAAATTATACCAGTATGACCAGAATCCTTTTTACGCTTGCATGAAGGAAATCATCTAGCCCTGTCAGCAAATAACTGTTTATTAACAAAGTTGTGTTTCTGGGCATGTGACCAACTGTGCAGTCAGATATGCTCCCAGGAGTGCAACCTGCATCTCATTAATGAGCAGCAGTTTGCCTCCAAGCTTACAAGATTTCCATTACACAAGCTGAATTGGCACACATTTTTTTCAAACAGCCAGTCTCTGTGCTTATTAGCCATGTGCTACTCACATGGGAAAGAGGCTGGGCGGAGCTCTGCAGTATCTGCAGCCCTCTCAGTTATTCTTGGGTTAGAGAACACAAAGTGGTCTAGGATGGGGACAGAGAGCTCTTAGTCATTTTCTCTGTTTAATAGCAGTGCTGATGAACCAGAGCTCAAGATGGAGCTATGGACAATTGAAAAGAAAAGAAAAGAAAATCCAGCACCCTGCTTGTAGAATACTGGTAGACTAGAGATGTTCTGATGAACACTCAGTTTTTCAAAGTATATGCAGAATCTTGTACTTGTGCCATGTGACTGGAGGGAGGTCTCCTTAAAAAAAATCTGAGAGTGAAGTGTCAATGGTCCATCCATGGTCTTGCACATGACCACATTTCAGAGGCAAGGAAGAAAGGTCACCTGGCCTACTCAGAAGCCTAGCTGAGGCATTCTACACCAGACAGAGGCTCCAAATTCACCACAGCCCCACATAGATCAAAATATGATTACTGACAGTTCTCTCTGCCTCTCAAATTTCAATTATATTTATGTTTTCAGGCATAGTAGGCGATTGGAAGAGTCTCTTCACTGAAGAGCAGAGCAAAGAAATGGACAGAAGATTTGAAGAGCATGCAGCAAGCACTAAGCTTGGAAAAATGTTGAAATATGATGTATATTGCAAGAACTAGAGGGCAACAGTGTGAGGAATCCGTCATGATGTGATTTTGGGTTCATGGAAGAACATAAAAAATTGACAAATGTATTTCTGAAAATAAAAATTGCCCAAACAATTCTTCATAAGAATTCTGCTATTGCACTTCTCTGTCTCTGTTGTTTCCATACATTGTTGATACAATTTACATTGTTTTAAAATCTGAAAAGCTTTCCAACAGTAATAAAAGCCTGTCAACCAGCAACAGTTCTTCTTTAATACAAGTAAAAAGATTTTCTAGTGCAGAGATTCCCAATCTGGGGTACACATACCCTCAGGAGTAGGAACCAGGACATTTAGGGTTATGGGAAAAAAATTCATAATATCAAGAAAGGGCACATGCATCAACAGTGTAAGAAATTAATTGAGTGGCTGGGTGGGTTTTCTTCATTATTTAAGCCCTGTTACATTGTGTTGTTATTTTGGCAAATGATGGGGTGTCTCTCCCTAAACAATATCCTGTGGACATGCCACTACAGTGTGCATGCTCAATGGTGCACTGCTCACAGCTCAGCTTTCACTTTTCCCTGCTTTGTGAACATTCAAGTGTTGTCGCACTGGTACCAATGTGTATTCAATTCATCAAAAATCCTCCAGTTTATGAATATGGACTATTGTGTTTCTGCACCTATTTGACTCAAAAAGCTAGGGAATGGCTCAATGTTGCTGCACAATATCATGCTCACATTGCCAGCAGGAAAAAGGATGCCAAGTTTTACATAGCAAAGGCCAGCCTGAATGATGACAACATCAATGGCAGCAGTCGGGATGTCTCCAGGACACCCAGTTCTGCTCACTGCCATTCACAAAGTGATACCACAAAAGGGAAAATCCCAGAAGCTCACTCCTTTTTTCCATCAGTTAATCAATTCTCACCCAAACACAAAGCAATTGTCAGGGCTGTTTTTCAACAAGTGTGAATGGCAGTGAGCAAAAGAGGGTATCCTATAGAATGATTGTCTTGACTGCTGTCATTGGTGTTGTCAACATGTAAACTGCCTTTTGTTAAATCCCAGGTAGCTAGGTGGGGGTTCACTCAACCTTCCACCCTCCTGAGGTTGGTAAATTGAATATCCTTGTTGCAGGGCAATGTGTAGTCTGCAGAATTAAATTGTAAACCACCCAGAGAGCTTTTTAAGTGCTATGGGCTGGTATATAAACAGCACGCTTTTCTTTTTCCCGGTTTAAGGATTTCAGGAAATAATATATTTCATGGAAAAATTAGACAGGGAAATATTACAACTAAAAGAAGATGAAAATAGAGGAGGGTTTTTACCACTCTCCCTTTCAATGCCAAACCTAATACAATACAGGGTAGTCTCCACAGTTAATGCGATCCCCAGAGTAATTTTGGTGAAAGTATCAATCTGCACAGACTAAGCAAAGAGGCATTTTGCATCTCGATGAATCATATCAAATAGATTGCATGCCCTAGCCCTGTGCTTGTTTGGTATGGGACAGCTCTTAAAGGGGAAGGATGATATCCTAAATGTCCTTTCTAAGAGTTCTGCTCAGATCTTGCAGACTAATAGCTATGGTTTCTTCTGTTGAGTCAAGCCATCTTATGTTAGGTCTTCCTCTTTTTTTACAGCTCCACTCCACTTTTCCCAGCAATATAATCTATTCTGGCCCATTTTGTATATATCCATTATACGTATGTGCATGGTAGGATGGGCTCTGTTGACTCATTTTTGCTCGAGTGAGAATTCAGGTTTGACTTGACCGAGCACCCACTTTTCTGCTTTTATTGCTATCTTCCAACCACATTTCAAATGAGCTGATTTTTGTCCCTCTCTTCCTTCACTGTCTTTCATTCTCATAGTATGGATTATTTTGACCTTGATTCCAGCATTCTTTGCTAATTCCAACTTCTTCCTTTTTTATATTTCAAAAAAGCAAAGGGACATATTTTGGAAAACATGCACACAACATATCTGGTCCAATATTGGTTTTCTTCCTCAGCTTGCCTAATACAAAAAAAAAAGTTTGGAAATTGGAACATAGCTTTCCAGTTTTCATTTGGTGGATCAGTCACAGCAACATTAGTTCAACCAAGAGGTTAAAGGGTGTGTATTCTTCTTCATTGTACGTGTTATACCTACTCACACTTTGCTTCACCATTTCATTAAGTCCAAAACAGCCCTTTAAAATATTTTTGGCACAGAGAGATTACAGCTATATCCAAGCTGTTCTCACTTTTGTCTTCTCCCAGTGATCATAGTACAGATCATATGCTCATCTCCTAGAATGCTCTACTTCTGGATAATTCTATGTGAGGAAAATTTCTGATTAAATTTGTGTGTAGCTTATCTATATTTAAACTCATGTATTAAAAATCCAATTCTTAAAAAAAAACAATTCCCAGTTTATGAATCTAGGATATTGGGCTTCTGTACCCACGATTCTGAAAGCCAGGAAATGGCCCAATGTTGCTGCACAATATCATGCCCATGTTGCCAGCAGGAAAAAGGATGCCAAGCTTTACATAGCAAAGGGCAACCTGAATGTTGACAACACCAATGACAGCAGTCAAGA